CCGGCCCTGCTCACAGCAGTGTCCATCCAGACATGCAGAAATTTGCTTTTCCTGCATCTGTTTCCACCCCCTCAGATGGTCTCACTGCTGAGTACTTCTGAAGAGAATTCAGGGACCATAACTGACTTCCTCCACTTCTTTCAGCTCTGCCTTTTTCTTTGCTAAGCCAGTTTGCTGCTCCTCCATGATTGACTTCTCTTCCTTCTTTTTGAATAGTCTCTCAGTTTTGCAAAACTTAATCAGTGGGGTCATCAGCTATTAGATTAGCTGCATGACTATAAACATCAAAATCCCACTGGCATCAGAACACAATTTAGGCCTCTTTGTACATAATGCTGATTGTTAACCCGATTTGACCTAATTCACTACCATTTTGTGCCATTTTTACCCCTCAACATAGACTGAGAAAAAATATTGTATTTTAAAAACAATTATTAGTACAATGTTATTCTAAAATGTCTCCTAGTTTCATTCTTCCTACTTGTTGGAATTGTTGCCTCCTTTTTAATTTTTGTCTTCCACTCATTAGTAGGCACTGATCAATACAATTCAATATAAATTAGATAATATAATCTGCTTATTTGTCCAGCAAAATGGGGGAAATTAAGTTAGTTATTGACTCAATGAAAAGTAGTGATTGAAAATTAAATATATAAATTAAAAAGTGTAATTAAGAACTACCTTTTTCCTACAAGTGATTAGAAATGCCTATGTATTAGCAGAGAATCATTAACTGAGAAATAAAAATAATTCTTCTGTGAGGTTACTTCAGTATAAGCTACTAACAGTGAATTGGTACCATGATATTTTGATCGTAAAACGAGGGATCTCTTTGATTTACCTGAATGCATCTAAGAGGATGAATTTTTTGCTGCTGTGTATTTGCACTTCAGCAATCCATAAATATCTATAGACAGATACGAGGGCAATGCAAATTGGCTAAAATAGGCAAAAATACTTTATAATGCAGAATCTGAGAAAGGTCTGAAAAATCCATTTTCCATTCACTTTCATATATGGAAATGCTCTGTTTGTGCCAGCAAATTTCAAGTGATCTTTTAATATAAATATTTCAAAGTGGGAATATAATTTTGTTAAGTTGTTTATAAAAGTTTCATATTTTTTTAAAAACACTTTTGAATAAAAGAGTTTTAAAAGTATTCTCACTGGGGAAGACTTTTTATCTTTTCCCCACCCCTTTTATCCACCCAGGTTGTAACTACCATCAATGACATTCTTTGGATGTTTACAGTATTTATTTATGTAGATTGCTCAGACAAAAAAGAAGGGAGCAGAGTCACCCATGGCACATATATAGCATAACCTCATAAAAGATTCAAAATTTAGAAGAGCAAGTATAATGATGGGTTAGTGCACTAACCTTTCATCCTTGTTGACATACTTCAACATCACTTCCACTTTACCAAAAATTGTTACATTGTAATGTGAAACCCTGCTTTATGCTGCCTCCTCTTTCATTGTTGATCCAGTTACAGTCCTATTTGGATATTCCAGATAATGTGCACTCAACATGAAATTCTCATCCCCTTGAAGTCACTTGCAAAATACCCACCGACTTCAGTGAGATCAGGAGTTCACCCACAATATTCCTCCTTGGCTGACTTTTTACCTTTCTATTGTATCTGAACAGAGAGCTCATCTCTTTAATGATCAAACACTTCTGAAGCTATTCCTTTTACCCACCAAAATGGGAGTCTTTAACCTGATAAACTGCCGAGGTCAACCAAGCTGCTGAGGTCTTTTAAGGGGAAGCAAAGTTTCCAATTAGAGATTCAGAGAGATTAACAAAACAGGACAGTACTTTTGTCCATTACTGTTACAGGAACAGGTTCACTAGAGGGGAAGGAAGTGGTCTTGGGATCCTCCAAAAGGCTTGACTCACTCTCCATTTAGTTTTTTTAAGTTTAATATTCAAGACCTCAAGATGAGAGCTCTGAAGACATGGATGAACAAGAATTCCTCTTCTTACCTGCCTAAAAATCTGTGAAGAAGAATTTCCTTTGCTCCTTACTGTTCCTTGAATTGAGTGGAGACCCCTGAAATCCATTTTTAGGTTGTTTTCCTTTAGTTCATTTGCTTTCTCTTTTCTCTCAAGTCTGAGGAGTATGGATAGAAGTGTATGAATACCTAGTTACCCACTTGGAGAGTGCACACTCACGCTGGCCTAGTCATTTCCTACGTCATGGAAACGGTGGATGGGAAGCACTCTCTTCTCAGTTCTCATAGGGGATGGAGAGATATGCAAGCAGCATTCTCCTTATAGCATCTGTGT